GTTAAGGAAATACAATGCCGTAGGGATAGGAGTAAGGGGCTGGGATCTGGGTTTGAGAACTTATCCAGTTTTCATGGCTTAACACTCCCAGAAATTAATTTCTCCCCTGTTTACACTGGATTGTATCCCTCATGCATCAGTTGGAGTGTAGACTGCTTTGGGTTTGGGAAGGAATGCTCACTTATTTTCCTGTGTAGCTGTCCGTTATTTGAGAGGGCCACACCTTAAAGGTCATGGCGCTTCCGTCTGCCTTTTCCCAGGTCCTGAAGCCCTCCTCTCCTCTGTTGACTTCCCAGTCCCACAAGTCTCAAGCTGCCCAGGCCGATCAACTGTGTCAACCCTCAGCTGAGAATGAATCCTGCAGGTTTTGGCAAGAGGGGCAATGAAACCTACCCTTGGAAGCAAAGCTGTCATTGTCTGGGAATCTGCATCAGGAACAGGAATAAGGAACCACTGAAAATTCCTTCACCAATTGTCCTCTTTTTTTTTTTTTCAGCTGGATGGTAAGGGGATCTGAACCCTTGATCTTGGTGTTATCCTTGTCATGCTCTTACCAAGTGAGCCAACCGGCCAGCCTCAGCAATTGTCTTTTAACCTCTGCTTTCCAGAAGCAAGACCATCTTCTGGGAGCATCAGAGGCCTTGGGGCTCACCTCTGGAGTGAGGGACATGAGACAAACCCTGTCCCATTAGAGACCCCTGGCAAGGCAGTGGCAGGGATCTCCAGAAATGGAGCCCAGATTTTAATAGCTCCCAAGATAATTTGAATGAGCAGGCTGACAGGAGAGCCAGTGTCATACAGCAGTGGCTCTCACTCTCAAGTGGGCATCAGAAGTACTTGGAGGACTTTTTAAGTCACAGATTGCTGGGCTCCTTTTCAGGATTTCTGACTCAGCAGGTCTGGGGTGAGTATGAGGACTGGCATTTCCAAGAAGTTCTCAGGTCATGCTGGTGTTGCTGGTCTGGGGAGCCACAATTTGAAATCCACCGTCTCGGAGAAATAAATGCTGATGATTTCTTTCATGAGAATGTGCATGCGTACTCAATCTATAGGCTTGACTACCTTAGTTGTTTCTGTCTTGAGTGCTCCTGGAAGCAGATGGAGTACCACTTGTAACTTCAAATTGGAGTACCACCCACTTCTGTCTCCATGTGGTCTTGTTCAAGTTGTGACTGAGGAGATCTGGTCATTTTTGGCCCTGTCCTACCCCTGAGGAAATAGGCCCTAGTACTTGCAGTTGGAAAGATTAACTTGCAATTTAAGCACTGCTCATACAACCGGGGCCTATCCCGCCCCCTGGGGACCAAGCAGGATCTACCCTGAAAGAGCCTCAATGGGCACCCTGGAGTCAGGGGTGACTGACAGACGTGCTGAAACTCTTCCTCCTGCAGAGGGAGAAGTAGACCTGACTAGGAGTGGGATGGAAAACCGGACTAGGAATTTCAAAAGCAAGACTAAGGGAGAAGAACAGTGGTGGAGGTAGGAACAGGAGAGAGGGGGCATCCTTGGAGATGCCCTCTGCAGGCCTTAGTCAGTAAGCATGCCCCCAGCCTACTTCCCACCCCTGGAGTGAGGTAAGGGAACTGGGAAGTGAGATAAAATCTCAACTTTTGATTTCTGCACCCTGAACAGCTTGGTGAGATTCACCTGACACTTTAGCCAAGGACCATCTCCAGCGCAATCCAGTGTGTGTGTGGTGGGGACAATGACAAGGGAAGAGGCACTTTGGACAGAGTGAAACCTCTTCTTGAACATTCCTCAGGGCTCTAGCACAGACTGAGTTTGAGGGCCTTCGCCACCCCTTCTCTTCTTTCCCCATCCAGCCTCCCAGAGACCCAAGGGCCAGCCAGGCATTCCCAAGACAGCTCCCCTGAGACAAAAGGCAAAAACCCTGAACTCCCTAGATATTCCTCCTTTTCTGGGTCAGCCCCCAGTAGGTTAATAAGGAACCCCAATAGGTTGAGAAGGAAGAATTCTATGAGAAAGAAGGAGGCCCAGCACCATATCTGAGTTACAAAAAGCTTTTTGAATTTTCAGAATATCAGAGGTGATTATATTCTATCAGAACTAGAGAAATGCTTTCTGAAATCACTTACAGGCACACATATAAAAATGTGGGATGTTCTTTCTAGGAGATAACCAGAAGGTGACAGTGGTAGGCTGATACTAAACTAGCAGCTCTCCCTGTTAAATGAAACAGAAGCTGTTAATAGCATTACAGAACAGGGCACAGAAACTCTGGAGCTCTGTTCCTGGCAACTCCATTCACTTCATGACTGCTCTGAGAGTTATAGTATCTTTTGTTACCTCCAGGTCTTTAAATTGTCTGGTGGGGAGTAGAAGGTACCCGCCGATACCTCTACCTGTGTGCCAGTCACACCCCCTGCTCTCCCAGGAAACATGCTCATGTTTATTCCTTCCTTTCCACGTTTATTCAACCACTCCCTGTCAGCAGCGTTTTCCATCAGATGTTAAAATATGCACGTGTCTTTATTCACTGCCCAAATAATATGCTTCTGTCCATGTTCACCATCTCTATTTTCTCACCTCCCACTTGTCCCTTGGCCCACTCTAATCCACTTCTGGCTCTACTACTCCAGGACTTCAAGACTCCTCTTATGTTTGATTTTATAGATCACTCCCTTCTTCCTGAATCTCTCTCTCCTGGGTTTCCTTGTGCCTCCCTGGCAGCTCCATCACAGGCTCATCTCCAGGTCCTCTTCTCTTTTTGCTCACTGCCCTTTCTCCCTAGGCCTACGCTAACTCATCCACAGCCAACACTTCAAGTTATCACTCTCTGCTGATGATTCATCTTTCATCTAGCTGAGCTCCAGCTCTGTATACCCAACTGCCAACTTGACTTCTCTTTGGGGCATCTCAAAAGCCTTCAACCAAACAACGTGCTTTCCTGATTTTTCTTCCCCAGTCTGGTCTTCTTCCAAGATTTCCGTCTTGGTGAACCAGCACCAACATCCATCCTTGGCCACAAGCCTGGGACCTGAGTTTTCCTTAATGACTCCACTGCCCCACCTACCTCATCACTTGCAGAATGTGCAAGATCTACACACTGGATCTTTTAAATAATTCTCATATCCTTCCACTTTCTATTTCCATGACCATCACCCTAGACCAAGCCACCGCCTCCTGCCATCTGGACTACTCCTACATTCACCCGGCTTCCTTCCAATAAGGAATCTTTTCAAGATGCCATTCTGACCATGCCACCCTCTTTGCTGAACATTTCAGGGGCTCCCATTGCACTTAGGATGAAAAGATTTTCCACATGGCCAGATGGCTATACCGTTAGCTCCCTCTACCAGTCTTCCCACTTCATCTCATAGCTTCTTCTTCGTTCTTCTAGCAGAGCAGGACTTTCCTCAATTTCTTCAACTTATCCTGCTCCTTCTTGTCACAAGACCTTTGCATACCAAGTTAGCTCTGTCTGAAATATTCTCTGCCTAGCCAAACCTGTTCTCAGCTCAAGTGGCAGTTCCTCAGGGAAAACTTTCCTGGTCTGATTAATTATATCAATTGGTTTCATAATACTATATATCCTTATCAATTTGCATTATAATACAGTGATGATTTTACATTTGTTTACTGTTATTTTCACATTACAGTGATTAAGTCTGTAAGCTCCATTGTATTGCTAGTGCTAGCACATTGCCGGGCAGAGAACAGGCATGCGATTAGCATTTATTAGAGAAATAAAGAAAGGAAGAAAATGGTGATAGAATGAATGAATAAGTCAATGTGCTCCATTGTATTGCTAGTGCTAGCACATTGCCGGGCAGAGAACAGGCATGCGATTAACATTTATTAGAGAAATAAAGAAAGGAAGAAAATGGTGATAGAATGAATGAATAAGTCAATGTTCACACCTATGTTCCATTTCAGAATCACTAGAAACATGCCAGCCCAACATGTAATTGGAAAATAGTCTACTTGAATTCGTCCATTTATGCAGCAAATATTTATGTATTCTTCATTAAAGTAACTTATTTCTGACTGTGAACATAACTGTTCCTTTTGGAAACCATGGGAAAATAATTAAAGTTTAAAAGAGAATCAAATCACCCTTCATCCAACAGTCCAACGATGAACCACTGTTAAAATAATTTTTCATAGTTCTTTCTAGGAATATATATGTGTGTATATGTATATGTATATGTTACATAAGTGGGATTGTTCTATATATATGGACTTGTTTCTTGCTTCTTTCTCTTAATGATATATTGTGAACACTTTCCCGTGTTGTTGAGTTCCTTGAACACATGGAGTTTAAATTGCTAAAATGTATTCTATTGGATGATGTATGCAATTTAAATGCCATTCCACCCATCGTTGGATATTTAAGGGTTTGTCAATTTATCACTTCTATAACTGACATTTACACGCTTTGCCGGGCCTCAGAGGTAAATCAGGTAATGCAGGGAAGTGGATTTTGAAAAAACCGGAGGCAGCTTTTTCCAGGCAGCTGAAGAGAACCCTTACTTGCCTGGGTTGCTGACCCCCAACCTCCCCGGACAGATGTCCTCAGAATGGAAGGTTTTGTTGGTCAATGGAAGGTATGCTTCTCTCAGGTGTGTGCCGGAAGATGGTGCCTGCTGGCCGGGAGGGTTTGGCCTAAGCGCACCTGACCTTCAAACCCTGGGGCGAGAAGGCCGGGAGGTTTAAGCTCCTACCAGCGGACCGCCTCCCGCCAGATGCCGGCCGCTGGGGCCACGGGCCGCCACGTGCTTGCGCATGGCCTCGCCCCTCCCACTCCCGGCCCCGCCCCTCGCGCTCTGTCCTCTAGGCTCTCCCCGCGGCTCCGCCTCCAGGCGACCTCTGTAAGTCCTCCCGGCCCCCTAGAGTGGCCCCGCCCCCGCAATCCGGGCCCCGGGGCTGCCCCGCCCCGCGGGCGACTAGGGAGGCGCAGGGGCGGGGCCCTGCGCGATGACGTGAGCGGGCGTGCGCAGTGACGGCCCGCGTCCCTGTTACTCAGCGGAGCGGCCGAGGCCGGACGACGCGGCCCGGAGTGCGGAGCCGCCAGCAGCGCTGGATAACGGCCGCAGCGACCGTCCGGACGGCGCCCGTCCACTCCGCGGGCTTCCCTGTCGCCGTTCGCTGAGCTGCCGGGTGAGTGCGGCGGGTGCCGCAGGGCCGGAGCGGCCGGCA